TACATGGTTGTGACAAATGGTGGTGGTAATTAATAGTTTATAAATGTGGTGGTAACAATAATATTTGATGGTTATGAGTGACAATAACAACAATAGTGATAATGACAATAATAGTGGAGATAGTGAAAAAAAAAAGTCAATTAATAGTTGTGATGGTGAGAGTAATAATTAATAAATAAACCCATAATAAAAATAGAGTTAGTAATGAGACGTATGATCACTGTGATGAGAATAATAGTAAAGACTCTATAAAAAAAAAAAAATTAATAGTAGAATATTATGAGAGTGAAATTAAAAAAAAATGATTTGCGGTAATAATGAAATTGAAAATTGTTCGTTTCAGTTATACAAAAATCCCATTGAATTTAATTTTATAATCACAATTCTAACTTAAACGAGTTATAATTGTTATTATAATTTTAAGATTTATTCCAATTTCATACCTTACTCTGTTAAACACACATAAATTACAAAAAAAATTCAGCCACTCATATAGTAGGCTACGTGTTTTTTCTTTCTTTCCAATTTTAGAGTTGATTTGGATGAATGACCATCAATTAGATTGTTAAGAATAACATCAAAAAAATTATAAAATGTGTGTTATTTTTCAAAGAAATAATGAAATGCGACAGAGTAACTCCAGGACCCTCGTTGAATTTTGCAACCCAAATTTTGTCCCTTTAAATTGGAAATTAAGGAGAAAATGACATAATCTTTTGGTAGGAGTTCTTTCTCTTTCTTTATTAAATAGTCAAGTAAAAGAGTCTGGTGTATTTTTCTATTTTTTTTTTTTTACTTTTTCGGTTCTTATTAATTTCTTAATTTCCTTAAATTTCAAAATTTTTTATTTCATTAAATTCAAGACATAAAAACTCAAAACAAATGTTAGTCACTGAATGCCAGAAAAAAATATATAATTGTGTGATATTATTTAAACAAAAAATATCTCTATTTATATTTTTGGGTACGGATCATTTCGGTTTTGTACGTACTAATTAATTAGCCAAGCAATAAACAGCTTGCAACATGTTTTTGTTTTTTATTTTTCCTAAAAATATATTTCCTTCTAGTTGTTGTTAGTTCAAGTGAATAACGTTCACATCAAGTGACATGATCATGGGCCTTCACTTTGAGTTGACACTCTTAGCTGTTAACAATTAAGAAAAGATCCCCTATCTCACGTACTCGTGGATTTTCTAGACTTTAGAAAAAGTACATGGTGTCGGAGAAGAGCCCAATGAAGTAGTCTTGTAAACTTCCTTCATGGACAATACCAATAGTCATTTTCACACACCTTCAATTTTCAAACTCATATATTTAGTTTAAGACACAGCTTCGCCATCTAGATCTTCTTCTTACTTCTCCAGAGATAATGTTTGTCATATATTTATTCTCAACCTTCTTACCCCAAGTCTAAGGGTTATTTTAATTTATTCAACGAACTATTACATAGACAAATCACTTTCAAGAAAAAAAAACAGTTCTTAACTTGAATATTATTTATACATGTAATAAGATATTTCATTCTAACTCTTATTGATATCTTCATTCTTATTCACTCTCCAATTTGATTGTCTTTGTCCATGTTAAGGGGGTGCATTTACAAAAGAAACTTGGATATTCAAGCAATTATCTATTTAATGTAATAAATGTGATAATTAGATATTACTCATCATTACGCCTTAATCATCTTGATTATTGGCTATTGAAAAAGTTTATTCGTCTCCAATTATTTTAACAGTCAATTGAGTACAAAAGTGTTACATGATCCTTTCAATTATCGAGAGTGTCGAAGGGATACTTTAAGGAATGGTCTTGAAGATTTGCACCAATTTACATGATCCATTCGATTGTCAAGGGTGTTGAAGTGATGGATTAAGGATTTCGGTCATGTGATCCCTTCGACTACTAAGAGTGCCGAGAAATCTCAGTCAGGCAATCCCTTCAACTATCGAGGGTGTCGAGGGATCTCGATCTTGATATTTTTGGTGACTAAACAACCTATTTGATATACAGTATTAAACTTAGTTCAACCCCTTAAATAAGTTATATAGTTTGTAGATGAAAAATATACAACTAAAAGAAACTCATTAAAAATAATTAGTCAAAATTTTTAATAGATATTAAAAATCGATACAATTCGATGAAAGACATTGAATATGAGTTTAAGAGGGTACCAAACTACCAATACCAAATTTTCATTTTTCTCCTTTTTTTTTTTCTTAACGATGCTACTTCTGCTATAAAACAATTATAGATAGAACTTTTAAAGAGTGGAACAAATTTTGAAAGTGATTGTGGCCTGCTCAGGTTTCTCTTGGGCTCCGTCTCTAATATAATTGATAATAATTTGTACCAATAATATGAGTATAAAAAAATAGATAACTTTCAATACTTTCCAACTAATAATGCTGAATTTAATTGATTATTTGGGGTTGGAGAAACGACTACTGAGAAAATACACATATATTTAAAATACAACTACAATAATATATGATATATGAACCATGAAAATCAATAACGAATTTTCATATCTTGTGAACCCTTTGTTTGATACTTGTCTCTACCCTACAAGCCAAAGTCACCACACAGTGGTCACATTCTCTTTCTTGCACTAAGATTCACTATAATAATTGCAGATCTATACTTGATCTTCTCTAGCTCATAGATATTCATCATGTCTATAGTCACATCCCTTGTTATAGGGAATTGAAGCATATTCTTCTCATTATTTCAAATCATACCATCTTAATTATTTTTTTTCTCTTCTTTCTATCTTGTTAGTGTGATTGATGCTTACTAGTAGTTGTTCAAGTGAGTTAGTTGGAATTCGCAAAAACAACATGATCTCAACAAATATCTCATATTCCTAACTTCTAAACCTTGTTGTGCATGCATATATATAAATATATATATATATATATATATATATATCTATATATATATATATATA